ATTGTTTTACTGAGTAATCAAATAATTTGAACCACATATTAACCAATTTTTTGGTTTTGCAGTCTTAATCATAACAAATTCCTCCGCACTTAACCATAGCAAAATTGCTTCGCATAGTGTGGAGCATTCTAGTTAGTGCTTCGCACTGTGCGAAGCATTTGTTTTTTTTTATAACTAAACTATTCTTTTGTTAATTACGTAAAATTATACTTTTATTTCTTCTTAATCTCATTAGTCATTATTTTATTTTATTTTTATTTCAATCCACCATTTAGCACTTTACATCTTAATAATAAAATTCATTTTTAACCAAATCTAGCAAACGTATCTAAAAAATAATCCCGGAAGAGTGTTTTGTCGTTTTCGAATTTTTTTCTGAAAAAAAACAACCAATAAACAAATTAAAACACAATAAAGATTGACAAACTAAAAATTACAGATAAACTAAACATAATTATTATATAAAAAAACTACAAATTTAGTTTGTTCAAACTGCTAAGAAAAAAATTAGTAAACTGATTTCTCCGAAGTGTGCAGAGACTTCTGAACTCATGTGCCATCTCTCCGTACCACCTGTTTTTTTTTTCGAACAAAATCTGATTAAAACAAATACAAGCACCAAAAAAGCATAAACATTACTAAATATCAATCTGATAAATTGAGAGTCCTTAAATGTCCATCAGAATGAACTACAGAACGAGGTTGTACTTCGTGCATCAGATTTTTCAGTTGAGGATTCTTAATGCACGTCTGCTTTATCTTTCTTTCACAAGCTCGTCTATTCTTAAACCAATCACCAACATTTTTTTCAGAAATAACAGGATTATGTAGCGATAAAGTTGATACTATATGTAGAATTTATGCATTATTTGGACTTTTATTTCATCCATCAAATATGTATCGAAGAAAGTTAACCTCTATAGATGTAGCTATACAGTAAGCAGCATATACGGTAAGTTGCAAATACGATAGGCGGTATATACGGTAAGCTGCAAATACGGTAGGCTACAAATATAGTAGGTAGCATATACGGTAAGCTCTATATACGATAAGCTGCATATATGGATTTATAATTTGTTATAAATATATAAAATTTATTTAATATTGAATTTCTTAAATATTAAATGTTGTAATTCAATATTGTTTCTTTTTTTATAATTGTATTTTTGAGAATAAAAAAAATTGTTATGAAATTGCTAATTTTTAAATGCGTTATTTTTGTTGAAGATAAAAATAATTTTTTTATGTTATTTGTAAAAAAAAATTTATTATAATTTTATTAGCATAATAAGAAGATTTATTATGCATTTTTATTTTTTGCATTTTGTGAATAATTTTGTTTATAGTGATTGACAAATATTCTTCCATACACGCATCATGCCATCAACATTAAAAAAATAATAATAATTTTAGTTTTTATAAATTTCATGAGACAAAAAAAAAACTTTCCTGAAAAACTTTCCGCACTGTGCAGAGAGATACATATGGCACTCTCTTCGCACTGTGCGGAGAGAAAAACCAAAATCTACACACTTTGCAGAGAGACGGTTTGCAAATTATAAATCGACGTATATGTATTATACTGGATTTTGCCATTGTCCTCTTACTTACTCTCATGCTATAGATCACAATAATGCTGAATTTTTGTCCTTTAGAGCATCCATGATTTTCTAAGACCCTTCAATGTGCTTTTTTTTAGAAAACTTTAACAAATCAACAGCAAAAGAAAAAAGAATTATTCCCCAGTAAATGATCAATTCTATGTGCAAAATTATATGAACTATATGAGATTGAAAAGAAATATGATTGATAGGATTGAAAGTTCCCCTTTATTTGTCATTGAGCTTATTGATTTTAACTGGGTGGGTGTCTTATGTATCATTTTGGCACGTAATTAAACAATTAAGTTAGCTCCTGTCTATGGAACTATTTTGTTACCTTAGTACGCAACCTTTCGTGAATATTTGAATATTAGACTATATTCATCAATTCTACTATTTAGAAATTGTTGTACCTGAAAATAAGGAGTATGGTTGGCTAGTATGGTCACTGAAAATAAGGAGCAAAAATCAGGATAGACGTGAGCTAAAGAAGAGAAAGAAAGAAGGGAAAAAAGAAATTCAACAGTGAAAAGTAGGAAAAATATATAGATAAAAATGACGTCATTTTCTTTTCTCTTGTACAGTAAATTGGGATTCATTTACTGTTTCTTCAACAGTGGTAACCCGTTGAACTTTTTAATAGAAGTTAGATAATATAATTAATTTTATTTTACCATATTTTTCCCATTAATTTCACCTCATTCCCACCCATTATTTTCCCACTCACAGTAATAGTTTTTTTCCTCTGTAAAATCTATTCACAGTCCTATGAACGTCAATTGCCATTGCTAACACCACTTTTCGCCATCTACAATCGAAGAAATCACCTTCCGAAGAGACCCTACCTTCAATTGGCCCCAAAACACCATTGTGGAGCCCAAAATCTACAAGAAAGTCTTCTAAATTGAGACGTGTTGCATGTACAGAATTGCACAGATAAGACACAATAGCAGGAGGGGTGGGTGATTTTTCTGCATTTTGTTATCATCATAGGGGGCTGCAAAATGTGAGATTTCTAGCCAGTTTTTCTGTGAAAATAGTGTTCTACATACATAATTTTTGTTCTAAATTAGTGAATTAGAATCTTAAAAAACCTTGAATTCGAGCGACGTCAATAGGATCCACATGAGACAGACTTACACTCATGGCATTGCCATCCCATTCCGCCACTACTCCAGCCATGAGTCTTCAACAATTGGACCAGAACCTACTTCTTCTTGTGCGCTTTTGTGCTTTTGCATCGGTGGTTTATTGTAGCTAGGTAGTGGATCTACGATGTGTTGAAGCTAAATGTCATGGTTGTGGTGTTGACGATTGTCTGATAGGTGGTGGTGATGATGGTGGTGGTGGTGGTGGTAATTGTAGATTCAAGGTGCAAATGGAGCTGGTAGTGGGTTTAAGGTAGATGAGGTGGTGGTTGTGATTGTGGATTTGAGGTAGTGGCCAACTTGGATGGTGACGAAGATGGTGTCATTATACCTGTAGCAGATTAGTTCGGTGGTTTGGAGGTTGCGATGGTGGTTGTGTATTGCAGGTGTAGATGTAAGTGTTGGTGGTGGTGGGTTCGAGGCGGAGGTAGTTGTTGTCATGGGTTTGAAGTGATGTCGGCCATTTGAGAAGTGTCAACGGTGATGGAGTGGCTTGGGGGTGAAAGGAAGAGTGATCATGACCAATTGATTTATTAATTTGTGGCCAATAAGGAATTTGTTACCTATAAAGCGTATAATTAAATATGTAAATTGTGGCCTACAAATTATGTCTTTATGACTGTGACTTTCGATTTTAATTTGATTAATACGTAATTATGACTTGTTTAATTGCATTATAGATCACAAAATTTTATTAGATTTCACAAAACATGACCACTTAATTTTTGAAAAAAAAATAAAAAAAAAAAATCCAAGATTTTGGAGCAGAGAAGACTATCCCGAGAGATAAAAAGTGGAAGGTAAGAGAAACAATTATCTTTAATGACTAAATGATATATATTAGGATATGATATTGTCAATTAAATATTCTAATTTAGAATAATTTTCCTAAATTTCATTTACAGTAATATCTTAAAATATATAATATATTAATATAATTTATCACTTGATTTTTTAAATATTTTTGTAAGTTCATTAAAGGCGAAGTTATGTATTTAAAGTATTGTATTCATGAATTTCCCCCGTTATAAAGCCTTTTTGCTATAATATCCATAAAGGGAATCAATGAAAATATTGAAAAATAGAAGGGGGGGGGGGTCGAGGGGGTTAGAGCAGTTGTGAAAGTTGAATCTTGCAAAAAAAAAAATAATAATAATAAAAAAAAATATATTATCTAGATAATAGCGATTATATTCGCACCAGATTTTTTGTTAAATACGCCATTTTAATTGTAATTAAGGTCTACAATTTTTGTTCATTTTAGTTTTTATATTCTCAATTTTTTCACAGCATTCCCATCTTTAACCTTCAGTAATTAATATATCTTGTCTTTAATAACACTTTATGTTCAAATAATGGGTTACGTGAGGAAAATATTTGGTCAAACATTTGTATTTGTTGTTTGTCTTGTTTATTTAGAAATACGAATGATTATTTATCTTTTTACAAACTTCAAATGAATTATTTTGACGGTTTACAAACTCCGAGATGTGTTAATTAACAAAGGTGAGAATAAATACGGCAAAAAAATAAATAAATGCCAGAATGAACATAAAATAATGACATTCGTTACAATTAAAATGTTGTACAATTAACAAAAAATTGTAATATGATGTCGGTTTATTAATGACCTTATATGCCCGTGTGTTATTTCTAAAGAAAACAATGTTATGATTTGTCATCATTGTTTTAAAGTTTGATGGTTTGAAAATTATTAGAACACTGGAAGAGCTTCAAAAAACAGTTGATGTCAACGTGCAATCCAACATTTAACCAATTAAATTTCTGTTTATATGACTTATCGTTATATATGGTAAAATATCAAATTTTCATTGCTACAATATTTCATTTAGTCCCACTCATTCTTAAACCTTAATTTTTAATTATAATTGTATAATTAATTTTAATTAAAGAAAAGTATTCAAGTCTCCATTAAATCATGGCATGATTATCAAAGAAACTTGTCACTTTTTAAATTTCGAACAACAATTCAAGCTGAAAAGAAAATTTTAACTTGGTAAAGATTTAGACAATTTTGAATCATCAAAAACAAGTATACAATAATAAATTTATTTTCCTTTTAAATCCCAATAATTAATGATCTTTAAAACTATCTCCACCCACCATTTATTACACCACCTAATGTACACATATACATACATGTATACACAAATATTATAAGGGAGGAGAGGTTCAATGGAGAGAGGAGGGGGGGGGGGGGGGGGAGAGAGAGGCGAGAGAGAGAGAGATTGATCGGTGGGGTTGAAGAAGGATTTGATCGAGAGAGAGGACTTTTTTGACAGGCGGGGTGATGGAAGATTTGAACCTTTTTTCTGCATTTTGCTGTAAAAATGTACCTACCTAAACACACAGTCTCTCTCTAGAAACCTCCCTGTCATTCACTAATTGTGTGTATGCACGTCTCCTTCTCTCTATATTTATAGACACAGAAATATAGATAAAATATATAGTCACAGCAAATCAAAGGAGGGCCAGCTGAGACTTCGCAACTGCAAAATCCCATTTTAATAGAAATTACTGTTTTACAATTTTCTTAGAAGAAACAGAGTAAATGTCTCTCTTATCTCTCTCAATCTTAAACAAACTCAACTTCTCATATTTATGCTTATATATGTACGTAGCTTCTATTCAGATTTTTGGGTTGATCTGACTCATCCTTAAAATTTTGCAGTGTGAAAAGGAAATTTGCAGTCTTTTCTTAGTAGATTAAAGGGAAAAGTCTAGTTTTGCTCTGTTGATCAAACTTAAAAAAGGTACTCCAGTCCAGTTGTGTATTATTTTTTAATTTTTTTTTCTGGGTGTTTTATTATTATGAATTTTGTTCCATCACATTGAAAATTAAATAATTTAAGGATATTTTTTTTTTTTTTTGTATAATTTATGTTTTCTTTTGGATATTAGATTAAGTTATTTTGAATTAAAGGGTTAGATTAGATCTAGATTGAACCGTGAGGACTGGATTTTGGTGTTTAAGTGATAAAGGGTTAAAAAATGTACAAACTACAGTTGTTAAAACTAAAAAGTTTGTTGGGAATTTTTAAAAATGATGACTTTTTTGTCCTCTTCTTTGTCCCTGAATTATGGGAAGATTCCACAGCTTAAGTCTGAAAAGTTTCACAGTAAAGGAGTATTAACAAAAAGGGAAACTATTCGGGGTATTTGAAAGAGAAGCTAAGGCCAGTTTGACAAGGCTTTTGAAAAGTCAAAACTGCAACTGAGACTCAGACACTGCTTTAAAAAATGTTTGGATAATTTTCAACAAGTGCTTTGTCTGGCTAGAAGAATTTTTTGAATACGTTTTCAATTGTAAAGAACCTTAATTATGTGACATTCTGTATTTGATGCTTTAAGTTGGAACTGGAGTTTTTCGATCATCTTTTTCTTCGATTCTTCAATTCATTTTAGTTGCAATTGATACTATATATTTTTTCGTAGCTAGCAATGCTGATTTTATTTCTGTAAACTCGTATTAGCATAGTACATATTGTCACCAATTGGTGAGATACTTAACTGCAGTCTACACTTATTTCTTTCGTTTTTCCATTGAGCTTATATATGGAGATTAATGGGGGTCGGGGTGTTTGCAAGCTCTAACTCGGCTTTCATTCATGTAAGCAGACTATAAGCCTGGCTAGTGGATGTCTGCTGCACAGCTTTTGAGAATTCTGCAAACTTCTTCGGGTGATGTGAAGTATGAAACCTGGTAAAGCTTCAACCTTCCGTATGAGCTTGAAATTTTACCCTCGACCATTGTCTTTTTTCTGGCGTTGAATGGTTATTTCTATTTGTATTTGTCAAATCTTGAAGTCTGTTGTAGATTAGAAAGAGCATCCATATTTGCATTAGGGACCTACATTTTAGGGAAGTTGAGGTTCTGGTAGTTAAATTACTGTCAATGAGAAGTGAACATTGACCTGCAGATAACGAACCTGTGTTTTACCATTCAACTCTTATCTGTAAGGATGATTCTAAACGATTTGAATACAACGACAGTGTGTTTGACACAGATGAACCGAAGGTGATCATGAAGGAAAATCGGAATGGGATATTATGCCGTTACGATAGTTTTGGGAAGGAGGCAGATACATGGATCTTCACAACTAGAGAAAATTTTCAGTTCAATAATGATCGTGAGGGTGCTACAGATCCCTTGGCTTCTGACATGAAGGATCGAGAACATTTGCCAAATAGTCCAAAGCTAGAATGTTCTTCGAAAGCTAAAGATTTAATCCGTACAAATGAAATTGAATCCAAAAGTTCTGATGTATCATCTGTTGCTGCTTCAGATTTGTCTGAGACAGATCCAAATGTGTATACTGATAAAAATATTGCGGAATGTGAGTTGTCTGAGTTGGTAATAAGCTGTAAAGAGGTAAATTATCACATTGTCAAGGACATATGTATCGATGAATGGATTCCAAAAGAGGAGACAATGGCAGGAGGTGGAGTAGCAGGATCGTGTTTGGAAAATACCGAAGACGTTGCTGTTAATGAATGTGGGATGAAAGAAGAAGAAGATGGCAAATCACTAGTTCCAGTCAAGCCAAAATTTGCCTCGAAAATTTCTTTTGACAAGGATACCACTGGGGAATGTGATCCAAAGGACTCCATCCAGGTAGGTGTAACGACGGTTGGTGCACCTGGCAAGGTCGAATGTGATATTTCAGAAGGGTCTTTCGTAAATAACATGCTTCCCGTGCAAGAATTTGGTACGCGGAGTTTCCTTAGATCTTTCCTCAACTCTTTAAACAGTGAGGAAAAGGAAGCTGCAAAACCACTCGATCAGGTTCGTGTTCCAAAATTTTCATTGATTCCACAATTCAAAATGATGGTCGAGACGTTTCTGTTAAAATCGCTTTCAATTCCGTGAAGTTAATTCTGTCTTTAATTGGTTTCTCAGCAGATTCCTTCTAGAGAGGCGAATAAAAAGGTCCAATCTGGCAACTTATCATACAACAGTAAAATGGAGTCAGAAAGCATTACATTCAACTTCAACTCACCTAAACCTGCAGAAGCTTGCAGCATGAATGAGAGTATTGAAACTGTCAACGAACAATCTATCGAGTCCGAGGATAATCATTTGGACGCTAGCCCGGTTCAATGCGCTATACCCAAGGACAGTGTAGGAAATGTTCGTGAACAACATTTGAAGGATGATAACTACGATAATTCTTCATCCACTTGCAGCAGGTGTAACATGGGCATCGAAAATGTTAAACAATTCCTTGACCACGATGATAGATCTGATAATCAGTCTCTTGGCCAAGTCTTATTCACTGGCCGCAAGGACAAAAGTACCAGAAATGCTCACGATCAAGCCCTTGAGACGATAAATATTTCTAAGCATGGGGATGGAAATCTGAAAGCTCAATGGGATGATGGAGAGGCCAGCTTCTCTGCAGGAGATCATGTTACTTACTCGGGGCCAACACCTTTCTCCGGGAACCTTTCTGTTCGATCTGATAGCAGTGCCGCTACCAGCACCCGATCTTTTGCCTTCCCAGTGTAAACTTTTTTTCTACTAGTTTGGTTTTCCCCATGTTAAGGATGTTTAATGAGTCGCTAACGACATAGTTCTTTTGTCTCCAGATTACAGTACGAATGGAACAACAGCCCTGTAAGAATGGCAAAAGCGGATAGACGACATTTTCGTAAACACAAGGATTGTAGATCTGGCCTTCTTTGCTGTAGATTCTAAATGCTTCAATTTCATTTCTAGGTTAGTCTAGATATACATGAAAACGATCAAATATTTAAGGGTACATGTCGATATTTTTCTTAGGTTGTGTTTGACTTACAATATAGCTTCATGAAGTCATGGTTTGAGGTGTGATTTGAGCTCGTGCGAGGTTTAGATATGCTTCATGAAGTCATGGTTTGAGGTGTGATTTGAGCTCCTGCGAGGTTTAGATATCATCTATTTACAAGTTTTCTTTTGATTTATATACCACATTTATTCATCTGTTATATTATTTTTTGGGGATTATTGAATTTTGGAGTTTTATTTTAAATATTCAACCTTGTTAAAATGAGTAATCCAAATCTTTATAGAATTTTGCTACAGGCCACTCAAATGGCAAAGTGGGCCGGGGCTGATTATTTTTAAAAAAATTCACACACCCCCGCATGTGAGTGATCTATATAGCCCTGTTTTGTACGCATCTCTCATCTTTATATGTTGATTATTATATTTGTATTTTTACTGGCATGAGATTTTACCTGTCGTGTTCATGCAGTAAGGTGGTTAGTTTGAGAACCAATTCAACCGTCCATTGGAGCTATTTTCTGAATTACATAAAAATAATAAATTAAAATAAAAAATGAATGGATTCATGAAATATATATATCAGAGGTGGTCCTGAGGGTGCGCGAGTTGAGGGACCGCACAGAGCCTCAGCATTATAGGGGCATCAATTTTTTTTAGTGTATATATGTGTAGAAGTATATATTTATAATGTTTTTATTAATTTTAAAATTTAAAATTTTTATTATATTAAGTTAAAGGGCACAATATTTATGAAAATAGAGTAAAAAAATTATATTATGTTTATATTCGTTTAATTTAACATATATGGAAAAAATATTATAAACTATATATTTTACTAGTCCTAATCTCCAGTTAACTTCATTAATCAACTGCCAACCTAAGAAGACAATAAGCAGCTCAAAATTCAAATGATTGAAGTGGAGAGTACAGAGCTAACACTAGATTCCCTTTTATCGTATCCCTCTTTTTCATCATTTAACCCACGAGTAATAGTCAATTAAAGAATAGAAGAAACACTATCGTCAATCTTTGTAACTTACTCTACAATAGTTCAATCTATTATTGGAGCCAGTTGGACACTTGTTAATTGCTATTTCATGATGTTTTATTTTATTATTATTATTATTATTATTATTATTATTATTATTATTATTATTATTATTATTATTATTATTATTATGTTCTAGAAGGGTAAGTTTTTGTTGGATGATAAATAATAGGTGATTATATTCAATTTTTGTGATTTTTTTTTTTTACCAAAAGAAACAAAAACAGCTTTGATTTATTGATTTATTTGAGAAGATTTGATTGCTTTTTGAATATATTTATTGCTATTGATAATTTAGTTATTGTAGCATCTATCGAAAGTTCTTCAAAATTAAAGTTATTAAAATCTTATTTGTGACCACTCATGTGACAAGAACAATTGAATGAGCTAGTTTTGACATCTATTGAAAAAGATTTGCCAAAACATAATGGTTACGAAAATATTAGTGAGTTTACTTCTAAAAATGCAAGAACAAATATTTTTACACGATTTGTTGCATTTCAAGATTTACACGTGGTATTTGCTATTTTTGATTTCAAAGTTTACTCATGTGAAATTGTTAGTTTAGTAGGTTGAACGGTTTCATAAACAAAATTTTAAATTTCATATTTTGCGATGAAATAATGTTATTGAAATATCTTTCATCATATATTTTTTATTACATGAAAGGGATACCATTTAAAATGTCGCACAGGGCATCAAAAATTTTAGGACCGGCCCTGTATATATATATATATATATATAACCCACCCCAACCTCATAAAATTAGCAATCATGTTATATGTACAGAGATTTTTGTCAGATTACGTTTCAGCAGTACAAATAAATTAATTATAAAACTAATAAAATAGAAAATTAGAGGGAAAAAGTTATCTGTCTTTATTTAAGCCAACTAATTTTTGTGCTAATGAATAATGATTAAGTGATGACAGAAGTAGAATTAGCAGGTACAACAAATGGTAGGCCTTAATATCCATCTGTATATATGTTTATTTATTCTTAATTTTTTTAATGACCGTAGGTGTCTGGACCAGTTTACGCGCACCTCGAGTAATCCCACGGGGTCCTGAAATTTACAGTCGATTACTTATCTAAGTGGTCCTGAGAGGACTTAAACTGGTGACCATTGGAGAACAAACACAAAGCTTGACCACTCCCTCTGTACATATTTCAAAGGAACTTATTATAATTTTGGAACCTTCCCTCCAATATTTAGGTCATACATAAGACATATGCCGGCAAAATCATGTTTCCTTATTCGCCTCAATCCATAATAAATATTTGTGATTATGGCGATAATTAGTCGAGGAACTGATTCGTTATTAGGGCAATAACTTATCCGTTATTTATATATCCTTTTCGGTTTTCATTTAATTGTCATGTCGTTTCTTGTCAAAAAATAATGATACAAGTTATATCTCTGCCTACAATGCTGGCCACGCTGCAGCCAACTAAGAAAAATGTGAAACAAGATTAGTACTCCACTTCGCATCACCTCTTCCACATGCCTCTTTTGAGGCAATTAGATCATGCCTTTAGATACTTCGCATGAAATATTATTGCTACCCTAGACGATGCATTGATACTTCTCTGCTGCCACCTATGTCCAAGTTGATGGACATGCTACATGCCTTTTTTAGCATATATTCAAGCTATGAGAATCACATGCCAATGATGACTATGGATTAACACAATTGAACATGACAAGTGAATCATTAAAATAAGTTCATGTGTAAAGCGTGGAGGAGGTCTTTTCTACCTATATATACTTAGCTTTGTCTCATTCACGGGTAAGTAATCTACAATCCTACACCAATATACTTCTATTTATTGTGTTTCTCTCACACTCAATATTCATCATCGTCTGACTTGAAGATAAGAGTGCATATAACCATCGCACCCATTGAAGCTGAGATTTGTGCAGTCTAAAATGGTTTTCAATTCTGAATGTAACATACACATGGATAGAAGAGAAGTTGAGATTTTTTTACGGCAAAATCTCTTTGAAATTACTTTAAAGACATACAGTCTAGTATATTATTTGATTTCTTATAAAAAATTTTAGGCAAATATAGCACAAGCACAAGAATATTTCACGTAGATGCAAAAATGAAACTTCAAAAAAATTTCATTTGTTATACTGCTGTTGCTCTTCCAAGTAAATAAAATAAAAATTCAATTTCAATAATTGCATTTCATAAGCTATAGGGATAATTGCAGCAAAAGTCCAAAGCTTTTGAAACACTAACAGACATTCTTCAAAGCTTTGATCTGTTGCAGTTGTCATTCACAACCTTTTCAAACGTTGTAGGTGAAATCATTTTGAAGAATATCTGTTAGTATTTCAAATTTCTGAGATTTTTGCAATTATCCCTAAACGTTATAGAAAAGGGATGAACTTTGCAAAGGCATGAGTTGTACCCCAGCATCAGATGCCGATACCCCATCAGAAATATTATTCAAAAGGAAATAAATGTCAGTGAGACTTTGAATAATATTTTTCAAACACGTAATTTTGAGATTTTCGCACACGTGTGGACACGTACATAGTTCGTTGGGCCATATATTGTACATGACGAAAGCTTGCAGCTTTCTTTTTCTCAATTTCCCCAAAAAAACAATCTTAAATAATTCTGTGTAAATGCAATATATAATGCCACCCCTTCTCGCCCTTCGTCTCTCTCTCTCTCTCTCTCGATCTCGACATTTCTATCTCTCTTACCAAGACAAAGACAACCTTAAACACCTAAACCAGTAATTTCTCATAATTTACTCAGGATCTTGAAATAATCATGGCTGTTTTTGCAGCGTATTTTCTGATTTTTCTAGGCATGACTCTTCATTCTGGTAAGTTCTTGCTTTTTCTGATTTTTTGGTGTCCCATTTAGGGGTTTTCATAGTTTCCCGCTTTGAGTTCATAGTTTCATAGAAAACCTTGTTTTCTGGGGCTTAGAAAGATGTTTGGTTGGGCTTAAGTCAAAAGTAATCGAATTGATTTGTTTGCTTTTCGATTATTTTCCAGATGCTACTTATTGTATATGTAATGATGGATTGAGCGATCCTGTTCTTCAGAAGAATATAGACTATGCCTGTGGTGCTGGTGCTGATTGTAATCCAATTCTTCAGAACGGACCTTGTTACCAACCAAACACGGTAAAAGACCACTGTAATTATGCAGTAAATAGCTATTACCAGACGAAAGGCCAAAGTGCTGGGAGTTGTAATTTCTCAAACACAACTACTGTTACTCAGAATGCCCCTTGTAAGTATGCGAAGGAAGACAAAGAAGATAGAATACTGTTCGTTAATATCGCGCCAAATTGTGCATTAGAATGGTTTTTACTTGTTTGTGAAATACTTACTTTTTCTCTCTTTTTGATCATTTACAGCAGCAGCTCCCGGTTGTGTGTATCCATCTAGTCCCAGGTGTGTAAAATCGTTTATGCAAGATTTTTGAGAAGTGAAAAGTTATTTTGAATATATTTGGATAATTTTTATGAAAGTTGTTTGTGGTGGTGTTTTAGGGAAATTGGTTTAAAGTAGCTTTGTAAGAGTGTGTAAAATTGGATGAAAATCGATATTTTCAAAATCACTTTTGTATCATCATTTTCACCCTGTTGCACTAAATCGAAATTCTGCTCCAAATTCACTTGCCTCTTACAAATGTAAAATATATATATATAAATTTACATTTTTTTAATATTTTCTGTCAGAAAATGCAAATTTTATCTCTTTTGCATTTTTTTTTTTTGGTTTTCGACTACTTTGGACCACCATTAGATATGTTATATAGAATTTATTGAAGTGAAAGTTTTGCCAAAAATGGATCTTTAATCCCTAGAAAAATTCCATATTGTAAGATTTTTCCATTAGAAATTGAATCTTATACTTGCCAAAATGTTTTTTTTTTTAACACTTATTTTTGAATGATGGGGAAGGAAGGAGGTAGTACGGGAAGCGTATGGGTCTCGAGTCTTGCAAAATGAAAATATTTTTAAACTCGACCAGGACATTAACCTAGAAAAATAAATAATGAAAGTATAATCGAGGTTGAACTCCACTAATGGACTTGTTTTGCAATGGGTTTTGATCGTTTAGCCGGTTCACAATATTTCTAATCGAACTAATCGCGGCACGCATTGGAAGCTTCTAGCCATACGTCTTCCTGAATTTACCAGTAGGTTTGGGTGATGTTAGATTCCATAATTATAAAAATACGTTGCTATTATAATTATTTATTAATATGAGTTTGAGAGGCACGATGAAATGGACTACCATTAGTTTGTTAGCTTCAAGTAAAAAAAGCCGAAATCATTTTATGAATGGAAAAAGGGTGGTGGGCCCTACTTAAATAAAAATTATTTGTTTCAAGCCCAGCTCCTAATCATCAAAATGCAATTATACTTAAATGAGCTGTCATGAAGTTGATGTGTAATTGTATGCGACTTTTGGGTTTACATAGTTGATTTTAAATTTGTTGATAAAACAGACTTGGTTATTGTATTCAATTAATTTCGCTTTTCTTTAATTTTTGTAGTAATAACGGACCAAGTCCGACCCCAACCCCAACCCCGACGCCACTCACACCTGGAGGAAATCCAAACACGAGCGGCGGCCCCACAATTCCATTTCCCGGGTCAAATACACCTCCCGTATCCAATCTTGCACCAAACGGAATTGGCTTCGACAACGACAATGGTACTAGTGTGACACTGAATCGTAGCACTACCTTAATTATGTCCACTCTAATTCTTTTGATTTCAGGCTTGATGTCTACGAGGATCTAATCTCACGCTTAGTAAATAAAACAGAATAGCTTATGACAAAAAAAAAGTTTAAACGTCTTTTTTTCTTTCTTAATATACAGATGTATCAGAATTTTTTGTTCAATTATATTAATTGTTGTGATTTTGTAGTTTTGCCTAAGTCGAGAATGCTTGAGGCTGACATTTAGGACTAATTTTGCATGACGTTGGAAAGATAGTGACTTGTGAACAAAACATTTGGACGAATGAAGTATTTTCTACGCTACTACTTTGTCATACTCTCGTTAGATGTATATTAAATTAGACAAAATGAAAGACGAGATAAATATAGATAAGATTTACTTATTTGACTTGTCAAATATTGTAGAATGAAGCTTTAGCCTAATTTTCTTGAGAAACCAGTTAAGCTGATTGGCCAAAGTTAGCATGAAGGAAAACAATTTACACATGCCTCACCGGCCTACGAACCCCGAAATTATTAAATCCGTTTTGGTTTACCAGTCAATGCTAAGTTTGCAGGACACCGTGGGCGGACCTTGGGCCAAGGAAATTGTTTCGGATCGTGAGCATATTCCTTAGTATCATTACCTCCATTACAATTATAATTTATTTTTTCTTTTTTTTAATCAATCCCACATTTTTTAAAAAAATAATATTATATGTAATCTCAATTTTTTTCTTTTTTTCTTTTTAATCTCATATTCTTCAAAAAAATTTATTTCAACCATTAAAATTTCAAATAATGAGAACCAAACGAAAACTTAATTTCCTTCTAAAAATTTCACAAGAATGAAATTTAGCCCCATGTGGACTCTCTTTATTTTAAAAGCCTTTATTTTTCATATTTATTTTTAATTGCACGTTCATATAATAAAATATTTTATACATAAATTCAAAAATTTTCCTTTCTTTTAATCATATATATATATATATATATATATATATATATTTTTTAAATCACTGTTTAAAATATTATTTTAATGACAATCAAACAGGGACTTAATGTTTGCAACACTCTTTTTGTTGACAATCAAACCATTATCAACCTTTTTAGTAATTATCAACTTTTTTAGTAATAGCTCTTTGAAAAAGGTTTTCAGGCAAAAACTCTATTCGTAAATGTTTATTCTACAGTAGTTGTGCTAAACATACTCTTATTTGATTAATACGTGAATATTTGATGCCCAAAAATCGATATTCTAGCAATAAGTATTTTGGAATACTAATTATATTTTACATATTTCCACATAATTATAAGTGAGATTTCTCATCTCAATTGGTGAGATCATGAAACGATAATAATTCAAATTCCGAATTTTCAAACAAGAGTGCGGGTCAAAACGGATCTTGGACTGGCCCTCGGTCCAGTCCCGTTTAGATTGGGGGCACTTCTTCACGGCTAAAAGATTTGGTCAAACTGAAAGAGAATTCAATCGGGGCACTTCTTCATGACTTCATGATTTAAAAATGTTCGATTCAATTTTATAAATGGTCACTAAAGTTTGATTAAAATTTCAAATTGACCCTTAAATTTTTTTAATATATTTAGTTACTAAAGTAATTAATTAAAATTAACGAAAGTATTTTTTTAATCCATATGTCTTATAAAAATATGCAATGATATTTTGTTCGCATTTTTCTAAGGCCCCAAATTAGTGGACTATAGTGATTAGTGAATGATTTTCATTCACAATTACCAGCAAATGTGGGCCCCAGCGTTTTACTCCAATTCTATTTTCTAAAGACAGATTTAACACTCTCTTTATGGGCATTATTTGACTTTCTTTGTTTCCACTTTCTTCACTTAAAAAACGGCATTGATGTTGCGTAATTAATGTATATGGCAGAGAATCTCATCCGTTTGATTCTAAGTATCCCACAAACAGATTCCCATCCCAGCACACCATTTCATATGCATTAATATTACTTATAAGCAACTTAGTCAAAAGTTCCCATTCTCCCAATTAAACCACAGAGTGAAATTGCAGGTGGAGGGACAAGTTTTGGAGCAATTCTTGTTGCTTTTGATTTGGTAAATGTTCTATCTTTTTCTTTCATTATGATGACATGAACAAATAGTTTTCTGGGCAATTTTTATTTACTGCTTCAGTATCTGTTTTCTATTTCGATATGAAATTTGGATTTTATATTGTGAATTATGTTTACTTCTTCATATAACGTTGAATAGGTGGATCTTGAGTCCAGAGAACAAGTAAACAGTATAATTAGGCTCCATGAAATCGAACATTTCGAATGGAATAGCGAAAATGGAGTTTGACCTAAGTAACTGACTCCAAATTTATTGAGAAAATAGCTTGGTTAGTGTTTAATCAAGATAGTCTATTCTTGCTTTGTACTTTGACTCGTTAAAGGATGGATATCGTTTGATTTTTTTATTTCTGACCAAATTATCTTATACCATTTTTGATATTTCTTCGATCTGATAGGATTTTGTCGAGTGATTTAAAGATGTATCTGGTGGAGAGTAAAGGAGGTGCAATAGGATGTATGCTCCTTTCTTTATTATTCTTAGGAACATGGCCTGCAGTTTTGACGCTTCTGGAAAGGCGCGGTCGACTTCCTCAGCATACTTATCTTGATTATACGTTGACAAATCTTTTAGCTGCTGTTATCATTGCTTTTACATTTGGTGAAATTGGAAATAGTACAATTCAGAAGCCAAATTTCCTAAATCAGCTTTCTCAGGTTGGTTTTCTTGTGAACTTGAGTAATTTATAATCCTAACAATTGCAAATTTTATTGTGTTTTCGACAAATTATTGTAGGATAACTTTCCTAGTGTTTTGTTTGCGATGGCTGGAGGGGTTGTCCTCAGCCTCGGAAATCTGGCAACTCAATATGCTTGGGCATTTGTCGGTTTGTCAGTGACCGAGGTTGTCACTTCGAGCATAACTGTTGTCATAGGTATTACTATTTCTTATATATTGATGGCAAGTTTCGTAGGGACATAGCATTGAAGTTTTACGTGCTGCTCGTCTTGTAACAGGGACAACCTTAAACTACTACTTAGACGACAAAATTAACAGAGCCGAGATTCTATTTCCTGGTGTGGGATGCTTTCTGATTGCTGTTTGTTTTGGTTCTGCTGTGCATGCATCCAATGCTGCAGATAATAAAGCAAAACTCACTAGTTTCTCCAAAGATAACGCAGCGTAATAGTCATGCTATAGAACATAAAGCTGGACAACTTGTTTGTTTTTGAGGTTTATTTATCGATCTTATTGATTTGTAAAATTTTAACCTGAACTTGACCAGGATAAAGGATGCACCTATCTCCAATGAAATGAATGCAAATAGTGCTACGAAGGAAGACTTGGAGAATGGAAATGGTACCAAGGAGAAGGCAAAATTTGGTACAGCAAATTTTCTTATAGAACTCGAGAACAGAAGGGCAATTAAGGTTAGTGAAATCTATACCTTCGTCTCGAGTACTGCATACTTTACATGCAGTTTTGTATTAAAAAGTTACTAAAAGTTTCTTAATTTCCATATCTGTGTTTGCAGGTATTTGGGAAGGGAAGTTTAATCGGTTTAGCCATAACTTTCTTTGCGGGATTCTGTTTTTCTCTGTTCTCACCGGCATTCAACCTGGCGACTAATGATCAGTGGCATACATTAAAATCTGGCGTTCCTCACTTGAGCGTCTATACTGCATTCTTTTATTTCTCAGTATCCTGTTTTGTGATCGCCGTCATTTTAAATATCAGTTTTCTGTATCGTCCCGTTCTAAACTTGCCCAAATCATCGATAAAGGCTTACTTATCGGATTGGAATGGTCGAGGTTGGGCCCTTTTGGCTGGATTTTTGTGCGGGTTTGGGAACGGTCTTCAATTTATGGGAGGTCAAGCTGCTGGATACGCTGCAGCAGATGCAGTTCAGGTTAGTTCGATTGTGCACAAATGGTGATTCTACACCATATTAAAGAACCTCGCCATAAGGTTGAATATGAATGAATTTGATAACTGATACGGATCAAGCATTCAAAGAAGATCGGATGGAATCTAGCCCTAGTTAGAAAATAAGATTTTTTTATTAACTTCTTGTTTAGGTCTAAAACTTGTGTTCTTTTTGCTCCTACCGAAACTCATATAGTCCCTGTTTGGTGTAGCCAGATGTCTTATTTTTAGTAGATTTGATAAAAATTGATAAAATCGATGGTTTAAAAGTTGATCAAAATGGTGAATCTCATGAATATGTGATTAAAATTAATTGTTAACTTTAACTTATATCGTTATCAAATTTTTTAGCCACACTAAATGGGGCCATAGAGTATCTTTTACTTCTTTCTTGGTATGGTTATTTGGTAACTGCATTTGAGTAGGTTCAAAAGACGAATAAACCTTGCAAGAACCACATACCACAAGTATGAGCCATGCTCCTCTAGGTTCTTTAAATTTCCTCATAAAGTATGCTTAGCGGTTGTTTGATAAAACTTTTGGTAGAAGTTTTAGCAGATTCCAATAAAAGTTGTTGGTCCAATGATATATATGTCATTAAAATTAATTGTTGACTTTAAATTTAAATTTTTAGCAACTCTTTAAGCTATACCAAACCAACCCTTAATTTTATTCATTTGTAACTGCAGGCACTTCCACTTGTTAGCACGTTTTGGGGTATACTTCTGTTTGGAGAGTATCGAAGATCATCAAGAAGAACCTATGTACTCCTCGTGGGGATGTTGTCGATGTTTGTTGTGGCTGTTGGTGTCCTTATGGCTTCATCTGGACATCGAAAATAATCTGATTATAGAGAAGAATGTTTGGAGAGTTGCCAAACAGAAACTAGGTTAAGACATAATGACGTACTGATCAATTGCAGAGGAAAATCATTAAAAGAAAGGGAAAAAAAAAAAAAAAAGCAAGTGCAGATGTGGTTGACAAAACCATTCATGGTAGAACGGTTCTGGTTTTAATAATATTGCATGATTTTTCTTGTGTTTCTTCATGGATATATTTGGTCATATATTTATTCTATTGGAAAAGATAAAATGGAAATGGTCAAATAATGCAAT